ACCCTATCTTTCATATTTTTGGAGATATTTGCGTGGATCATTTAAAATAAAACGCCCTGCATAATTAAAAATATTTTGCACTTAATTGTTCAAAATACAGTGCTATTTTTTTCACCAATGCAATAACATGATAACTATTGGCAGAAGAAATGTTTCGATTCTGATTTACAGAAAAGCGTTTGCAAGTCCTGGGATCTAATTCTATTGTTCGACGTATGTACAGTCTTATTCATAAATGCGTGGACCTGCACTTTTATCAGTGACGGTATTGGTCGTTGGGACAAACCGGAACATGTGGGGCATGTCACATAAACAGACCTTTAGAGAAGCTGTGTCAACTACAGCCTGAAACTCATCGATGTATAGATGGGAATAAAGATTATGAAAATATGAATCCTAGTAAAACTGAGACCCAGGCATTAATGAATAAGACTGTACTCCGAATATATTCAACAGTTAAAAATATATACGTATTTTTTTTATACATGTCAATCGTTCAGTAAATCCATATGATATTATGAATTAAGCAAATTGCCCGCAATATGACAACAGATTGACAATAGGTGTGTGTTTGCAAAATATTGCAACAAGTCCAGCATCATTTGTGTCCGCATTAAACTCGTATTTCGCCGGTAGAGTCTGCGGATATAATCTAACAGCAGATTGTTAACAAAAATATAATGTATCATTTAAATTGTTACAAAACTATAGATTTGGTTAAATTTGTGAGTTAATTTGTCATTCTAGTCTGTCAGCAGATTTTGCTATATTTCTGCTGACAAAAATTGCAGCAGACACTTTCAAAATTTGTTCTCGATTTGACCAGGTATCTGGGCATTATGTTAGTAGAAAGCCGAAACAGTCCTGCGAAGCTAATTCAATACTGCGGAAAATGTGAAGCTACATACAAAGAGATGACTTAAACAAAAGTTCTATAATATATAAGTTCTATACGATCATGAATCAACATATTTTCACAATAATCCCTTTCGTTAATATTTACTTTAATTGGTATATTAGTACTTGACAAGTGTTTTAGTCTTCGAAGGATGAAGCGTGAGTCAAGTCTCTTTCTTATAATATTTCCTCTCACAATATTTTTGCAGTGTTTCTCAGATCGCGCGGGTCGCGATTCAGATTCTCGATGGCATCACCGACCGGCGCATCTGATCATTCCTAATAACGCGAATATACTGAGAATTTTAGTGAACTTATGCATCCAGTACAACCTGCAACATATCGATACAATCGATTGATTCCTCGTAAACCTAACAGTTGCGAAATAAAATAAACCTGTAAGACTTACCTCGATAATCGACTTCGGGCGTTATTTAATGTATCTAGATTGTCCTTTAAGATATATTTTCGGATTCCTAACATGTACTGGTGTAAGTACACGTCCCAATCCACGTTTCTAATATCTACATCGAAACTACTACAATCTTCCGACGATTTTATAAATTTCACCAATTTCGTCATGTTACCCGTATAAAATTTCCACTCGTTCATCGCGAAGAACTCTCCGGTTTTAGCGGCGCGTTCGAACCGCTTAGTCATCTTCAGCATTCTGAAAAAAAAACAGTGCGTAAGTTATAAATATTATCGTTACAAATAAAATTTCCGCGCAGAAGATACTCACATGGGCTTGCAACCTTGTACTCTCAATATTAGATCTACGATAAATGCAGGTAAAAAGTGCAACGTAGCTACTATGATAGCGTGAATAAATTTGTTTGTCCTAAATGTGAAACCTGGATACCACATCACGTATTTTGATGGAGATTCTATAGCGTGTTTTCTCACGAGATATCCAAATTCGCCCCATCTACAAGAATCGTACGTACAAGGTGATAACTTTTGTTACAAAAATTAAGAACAAAAATGCACAAGATTGAGGGTAATCGCTTCCCGCAATTTTTTGGATGAAACGAGATTGAACAATGCCGGTTACTGTTCTATAGTCACAATTTTGAAAAATTTGTTTTACAGCTTTAAAGAAGGTTTTGAAGTTTCAAAAGAGGACTTTTAGACCTCAAAAGGAGTTTTTGATAAAAGTAGAATCTGCTGTATCAATGTTGCGACTTGCGTATGCTATTGAAAATCTACTAAATATTTTTTCATTACATTATGCAAACTGAAAGTTGATAAATATAAAATGGCGGAGCCAACATTCAAGTTGTTCGAAGTTTTGTTATAGTTCATGTATGGAGTTAGAATTTTGCATATGATTTAAATTGAATTTATTAACCCTGACATTAGATTAATATTGAGCAACTCTGAAAAACTCGCGCGTGCTCTCATACACATGCATTAATTTCATTATCTGATTATGTCCGTCGCTGTTTTCCGCGTTCACTCTATTGCTGCGTACTCACGTAATCGGATGCACTGCACTGCTGGTACAATTGTAAATCTTTATCGTGTCAGAATGTTGCATAGTATTGTGCCAAGACGCGCAGATCAACGTATTGACGACAAAATCGACTGGTACAACGTCCACCACTAAATTCGCGTTACATACAATACTTCTAACGGTGCCTCTTCCAATCTCCGTCATTATACCTATCCAACAATCAAACGTGTATTCTGATTGGATATTAATATGGAAGAAAATTATTTATGTATTCTTGATTAATCTCGCCCGTTCTATATGTATTTGTCAAGAACAATCTTCCTTATTATAATAAATCGATAAATTAAAAATGTAGAGAAAAGTTCCCGAATATGAGATACCGATTCCATTTTTTGTATAATTGTAATTGTTGAAAATCTGTAGGAAGAATTTAAAAATATAATAGCTCATTTTGAAGGGAATTTAATAAGCTTTAAGTTGCCTATGTATGATTACATCTTATATACGATTATTATACATCAACAATTTTTCTCATTTCCTCAAATTTTTGTTTTTTTTTGTAAAAAAGCAATATAAAAATTATCCAAGTTGTTAAGATTCTTCTTATTTTTCTTATACAAATGAACAGAGATCACACTTGAGAAAGGAAACTTACGGACATATTTTATATGCATTATAATTAAATATAAAAATTTTTTTCCAGAAAATTTTTACTTTACGATCGCGACTCAAGTCCTAAAATTAAACGCGGTTCTGGTACCCGACTTTCAAACGCAAAATAGACTCGAGCTTACAAGTTAACTACGCACCTGTAATACCGCAAGTATTATCTATCCATCCTGGAAATGGTTCTTGATACGCAGCGCAGACTATACTCGGTCGTACAATCGCGATCGGTAGGCCGCCTCCTTTAGACATTACGATCTGCTCCGCCAAGCCTTTGGTCAACGTATACGTATTCGGATGTTTGCCGACCAATCTCTTCTCTATTATTCCTATCGTCTCGTCGTCCAAATTTTCGCACATATCGACCACCGTGTACGGCTTCACCTCCGTGCTGTAACATTAGCAATATACGATTAAGCACACTTTAGACGGTCTACATTTCACAACAGAACTTTCAAGACCGAATTTCATTTTTAATTTTGTACACTGTACGTTTTACATATGTATACGTATGTGTCCCGGTAACAAATTTTTCATACATATTTTTACATTGCATATTTCTATACATTTTTATACAATTCTATACAGTTCTGTATAATTTTATAGATCTATACTTTTATTCATGCTTTTATATGAAAAGTTTTTTAAAAGGAAAAATTGTTTATTTATAATTACATGCAGAGTGTCTGACACAAGAGGACCCCTACGAAAAATGATGGTAGATGAGGTCAAATTAAGAAGAAAAGTCATTTGTGCCATTTTACAAAATTCACAATAGTTATCGAATAATTTATTGAAACGTTTGAGCGAATGAGCGCGTAGAGAGCGGTAGGCTGAGCTCGTAAAGCATGTCAGATAGCTTTGTATACCAGATCTCCTATCAACGGTGAGCGAAAGGTGGAGCGACACATGACGTACCTCCGCGCCGGAAAGAAACACTCGAAAAAAAACTTGCATATGCCTTTCGAGCCCAGCCTACCGTTCTCTACGCGCTCATTCGCTCAGACATTTCAATAAATTATTCGATAACTATTGCAAATTTTGTAAAATGGTGCATGACTTTCCTTATTAGTCGGATCCAATCTACCATTATTTTTTGTAAGGGTTCTCTTGTGTCAGACACCCTGCATAACTTTGTATAATTGTTACACAATTATATACACTGATAAATCAGCAATTTTTCATACATATAGAGTATGCATTAAAATATATCAGAACATATATCAATACATCAAATACAAAGAAGAAATAATAAACAAATTTTTATCCCAAAATAGGTGACGCAAACAGGAAATTGTCCGAAATACGTATTATACATAAAAATATATATGAAGTTACGATTATTACAAATCATTGTATATATTTTAGATTGGATAGATATTGCGTAATATTATAAATTAATATTAGATATTAATAATATTAATTATCAAGAGATTAATGGATAAAAATGTTAAGTGATTTTCAATTATATTTTTACCATCATAACCTCTTCATAATTTCAAATACCATTGTAAACTGAACTGGATTGCATATTTATGTGTAAAATGGAACATGTACCCGCAATTTAAATATTGTATTGTAGTACGATTGCGGGCAAGAGCTAGCTGTTTGAATGTGCTTATAGCCTAGTCATTAGATTCCCCGTCCGTTCCTCTCATCGGACACTATGTTCTTGAAGTAAAACGCTTTGCTCGTATCTATGAACGGCATATTTCCATTCCTAACATTTTAATGTACATAAATAGGTTAATTTAGCGTATTACCAGTCGGAAACTTAATACTAATAAGCTTTTTGATTGGAAAGTCTACCGATTATCCAATTTTGTTTGAAAAATGAATAATATTCACAATAATACATTATTGGTTAATGTGTGTCGACCTCATCAGCAAACGATTCGATAAAGTATTAATAATTTCAATCGTAATGGCGTCCGGATGGTTACCGCGTCTGTTTGCAATGTGGTGCCGACGTTTCGCAAGCATTGCATTAATATTACATATTAATAATTTCGTGGAACGAAATATTTCCGCGATGAAAATATAACTTATTATAATTACTGCTCTTCGACTGAAGAATCTAAAAGCACTTATCGTTTGGCCTAACTAAAATGGCTTTAATTCGGAGTCACAAGGTCCACTGTTGTCATTGATTATTTCTGAGGCATAATCATAATTGAATAAAGTTGATTGTGCGACTCACGCAAGAATATCCGCGTTTACACCTTCATTACCTACTTGTTATTTTTATATTTTATTTAATTAAGTTGAATTTTTTTCAAAGATTTATCCTCGAAATGAAAACGGCACCATATCACCCGCGTGGGTGTCACGCATTACTGGAGGCTTACATGTATATCGATTCTTCAATCTCCCGTCGGTCGGCATTACTGTAGGCCGTGCTGACGTGAATGACGCTAATAAGGTTTGTCATGCGCCTGCACAACTCCAGCATACGATCGGTGCCCATCGTATTCAGATTAACGGCTATCTTGAGCGGCTCGTTAAAGCGCACGGTGGCCGCGCTGTGGAACACGATATTAACTCTTTCTATCAACATGTCCCGATCCTCGGACTGGAGCCCCAGCTCGGGCAGGCCCACGTCACCCTTCACAGGGAAGATCTTGTTCAAGGTGCCCGGGAATTCCGACCGTATCCTGTCGAAAACCTGCCACAGAAAAAGAGGCATAATTTCTGCTTTGTTTAAGGCCCGGTTTTCTGGTCAAATATTAACCAGAGGTTAATCGATATTTCCTGTCCCTTCTTAGATAATAATACAGAGAAAGATGAAGAGTCGACTGACTTAGAACCGGGCCTAAGAAAAATTCATATACCTTTATGTACGTAAATATACATATACAGGGTGTCTCAGTTTTAATGTTCCACGCAAATATCTCCAAAAATACGAAAGATGCGGAAAAACGTTTCAAACAAAAGTTGTTCATATTAATTAGTAAAATAAGATAGTATGATAAACAATAGGGGGTTCCGTTAAAAAAATTAAAGGTGACCTTCACGTGACCTTCAAATGACTATTCAAGGTCAAGTCAATGGCACCATCTTATGTCCCCCTTCGAACCAAACAACTTTTGTTTGAAACGTTTTCCCGCATCTTTCATATTTTTGGAGACATTTGCGTGGATCATTTAAAATGAGACACCCTGTATATATATTATGTAATATAATAGATTAATATATAAAAGATAATACAACTAATAAATAGCATTGTATATTGGTAATACATTTATTGTATTTATCTCCAATTAACTTAAATATTTTTGTATATAAATTAAATTTAGGTATAAAAGTATATGTATATATGTACGTGGAATGTTACGATAGTTCGACATTAATATAGTTTGAGATAATCGTAAGAATGCCGGCAATCACGACCTTTTATCGTGCATTTCGATGACAACTTGACACTTTAGATGTAAAGTCACAAGTAAAATATTTAAAGCGTTCTAAGCGAGGTTGTGCGGGATCGATATTACATTAATTTAACAAGTGCGTACACTATTACGTCCGTAAGAGATCTAGCGCGAATGCGATAAAATTAAATTTACAGTGGACTAGCGACAAAGTAAGCCTTTACGTAAAGGGTTTCCGCAAATCGCGAGGCAATGCTGAATATCCAAATACGATGGCAAAATATGAGTTATCCAAAATACGATTGTTTCTAATATAAATAATACAAATATTGCTTTTAACTTCTCTTCAGACTAAGGCATTTTGGAATGAATAGGAAATAATATTGTACAGAATAAACGCAAAAATTTTTGCTTCAGATGAGTTTAATTCTCGTATGTGTGTCACGGCGGTAATAGAACAATGACTTAAAAAAATTCTTACAGTGCGCCCTTCACGTCACGCGATGTAGTCCTGAATTACCTCGATCTAAAGCAGTTCAATTTTACCGGCGATGACAGACGCGAAAAATATTTTCCTATTTGAGTAACAGGTAAAACTTGTTTACGAAGAATTGAACGGTATAATAAAACTTGTTTGATTAAATATGAATCAATGCGATATACAAGGACGTGCATATATAAAAAAAATATATATACGAACTGGGTTGTTCAGCAATTCCTTGAAACGTTGCTCGACGGTCTGATCCTTTTTTGGACGGATTAGAACGAAAATTGTGGCTATCCGGGAACACGAACGCAGCAGCTTTTCCAGAAGGGCTTTCCCCAAGAAGCCGGTAGCGCCGGTTAAAAGAATCACCGTCTCGGCGAAGAACGCGTCGATCGAGCCACCCCTTGAGTGAGCCTCATCGTCTGCGTGCCCCGGGTTGGTTTGTGCGTTCGCCGTACCCATCTTGATATCTGTTTCGAGCTCAACGCAACTGTAAAAATTCGTGATTAATATTAAAGAATAAACTAGCAAGATGCTTCAATAATGTAACGTTTTTCAGGAGTGTAAAAGTGTCTCGTGATAAGAAGTTTGTGATAAAGGAAACTGTGATAACTGTATGTGTGTACATTTATAGAGGGATATCTTGTTTTGTCCAAAGTTTTAGAATAATGTTCCAATTCTTGTTTCCAATTATTTCTTTATGTTCGTAAACTTTTTGTAGGTACAAAAGGTGGGTGAATATGCTGTAAAATAAAAATAAAAACACTCGGGGACAAGGGGATGCTGGAGTGGTTTGATTTATCGACAGAGTCGGATACCGTTTTTGCGTTTGTAAATCTTATTATTTGCATTTATGTACAAACTAATACCAGACCAGAGTGTAGAATGCATAGTAGAAAATTTTCATATAAAAAACATTGATTTGAAATCTAATTCGTATCGCATTATGTATTGCAATATTTGTAATACATAATGCGATACGAATTAGACTTCAAACCTCAATGTTTCTTATATGAAAATATTCTACTATGCATTCTACACTCTGGTCTGGTATTAGTTTGTACATAAATGCTACACAATTATTTTGGTTTGTATCTATAATATGACATATTGAGGTTACGTTCCCTGAGGTAAGATTTACAAACCTCCAAAAACTGTATGCGACTCTGTCGGTAATAATTCTAACATAAACGATAAATGTCGACGAGACATAAAAAATGTAAACATTTATTATAATGATACAAAACAAATATCATTAATTTAACGAAATATCAAACGATGATTAACAATTATTTTAGAGTTTCTCTCAAACTTGTTATTCGCTTCAAAGCTTTTAGCCTCGCTTTTAGCAAATTTTGAAACAAATAATAATGTACAATATGATAATACAAAATACAAATTTTTGTTTTGTGATAAATATAAGTTATCGTTGTTCATTTAAATATTGCATTCAAGATTTATCAAATTGTGCTATCTCGATGCTTTTGACTATAAACGATTATTTGTCTGGTATAATTAAACCAGAGCAAAATCAGAATAATAAAATAGTTTATTATTATCATTATTTTTCATTCGGTATCTAAAATATTTTTAAACATATTATTACGACTTGATCTTTATTGCTTCCTTTACCTTGCACCATTGTAATAACATAGCATGCGAGAATTGTAAAAAATGAAAAATAGAAATATACTGGGTGTCTACAAAGTCCCCGTACCCACTCCCACATATTTAAGGAACGGTTAAAAAAATTTTTTAAACACGAAACACATGTTTCATCATTTTGAGGGACTACTCTTTTAAATAATAAAAGTCGTCCCCTCTCCTACAGGAGACTTCAACTTAAAAATTTCAAATGGAACCCTCTCCCCTATTGTAGCACCTACATCGTTTGACAGGTCAATTTAAAGAAAAAATTGTTACTTTTATTTGAAAAATTCTACAAAAATGTTTGAAGTGTGAAAAGTTTTGTCTTTTCAAGTCCTTTCCTTAACGAAAAAATTGGAAAAAATTCATTTTGGGTTTTTCTTTCAAGTATTATTATGCCCAAAATGGTCCCCTGTGGATGTGCATAATAAATAATAGTCGTAAGGTGATATTTTAGAAGCTAAAAATATAAATAAATGTTACAAGAAGATACTGAAAGCGAAAATATCACTGTGACTATGAAGTATATAAAATTAACGAAACTAAGAGACCGTGTAAAACCAGGTGTGTGCAACTAAACTGACGAACTAAAAAACTGTACGCAATTGTGTGCAACTGAACAAACTGCACGCAGCTGTGTGCAACTGAACAAACTGAAAGACTGTGTGCAACTGAACATACTATGCAACGGGACTATGTTAGCATGTGCCACAAAACGTACTGCGTAGAACTAACTAAAATAAAATCATAAAATGGCAAAACGCTGGACAAACGAAATAAAGAGAGACAAAAATCAAACAGAAGATGAGCGCAAACTGGGTGACTTCACGTTAGAGTGGTCAACTCGCAGTCGAATGAGTTCCAGATTCGTTCCTGACCCTCGTTCTTTCTGTGCCACGTATGTTTTTATTATAAAGGTTGATTGGAGAGTTAGAAAATGAAGGAGTGTGAGATAAACGAACGATAACATTTCGAGGATTCCAGGACGCGAGCGGAGCGAAAGTAGAAAGGCAGCGGAGGAAGATCCGACAATGAATGTGGCCGTAGTTAAATTTAACCGGTACGAGAAAGAATAGCGCAAAATTTGATAAAATGAAAAGGATGTAATGGAAACGAATGCGTTAAAAGCAGGTGTTAGGATATCAAAGTGGAATTCGTAGTTTAAACGGAGAAGATGGTATAAAGTTTACTAAGGTAAATGTTGTACGAAACGTTGGCAAATTTTTTGAATAACCAGAATGTTGATACAGAGAAATTATTATATTTGCGAATGCTAGAGGAAAAGCGAAGGCAGAAATTTTTAACATGCCAATCTTCGGTAAACATTTAAGAAATTAAGAGAAATATATTAACGGAAAATGTACAAAGTCCGAAAAGTAAACTCTTTCCTAAAAGAACCATAAACGGCTGCACCAAATATGCACAATTATTTAAATTAAAAATAACTGACAACTCTCCCCCTCCCCCTCTCTCTCTCAAGTGACATGTAATTAAAGCCAATGGCACACGATACTATTTTTTTCCACTGGATTGCTTACGAGAACGTATAAGGATGCAGAGTTTTAAATCAGATAATTTAAAGCCAACCCCTGATTGGCTCTCGTAAACATAACGTGCCGCAAATACTTTACGTTCCGATAGACACTGCAATTTCCCCGTAATGTATAGCACAAATTACTGAAACAAGAGTCGAAGCACTGAATGTGAAAACAGGATAAACTGATCTCTTAATTAAAAAATCGGCAAATTTCTCTGCAATTTTCGAAACTGTACGATAGAAAAAAAAACAGCAGAGCTGGAATGTACACAAGACTTTCGTGTACGCATGTGCTCCGAGATGATGTGGTATTTCGAAAACGAGCGAAATTATAATTTACGCGACACTTCTTGCGCACGTGCAGTCATTATTCATGCATTAATTATGGTGCTTGTATCCTTGACCCGAGATATCGTAACTTCTACCGCATATCTCGAATCGATATAGCCGTGGTGACGGTCATCAACCGACGTCGGAAAAAGCTCTTATTAATATTTCACGCGCGAATATAGTTTCGCGGCTATAGCCGCGGTGAAATGTTATGTATGTCGCTTGCAAGCTCCACTTTGCTTGACATGACGTCACTGTACAAACCCCGGCTGGATATCAGTAGTGAGACAAATGTTATTTAACGAAAAAGATCTGCAACGATTATAATAAAAACGATTTGTTTGAATTATTCCATCTGCGCGACATGGCACAGTCGACCAACTAATTGGAATGATTCGCGAAAATCTTGTTTCTGCTCTGGGAAAGAAGACAGCAACCCGTTTTGGGGCCCGCAATTAGTAATCGAATTATTTCGATTTTTCGTAAACTCTAATCTTTTACGAACTTTACCTCGCGTAGCTAAAAATCGCAATTAGCTATTCTATCTATATTAAAGATTTTAAAGTAATACTTTTATCTCGGGTACAAGAGAACGTTAAATTGAGAGAATACAGCGATTTCTATTTTGAGTATATTTTAGTGTATATCAGAAGCACGTTCAAGTTCATAATAAAGGCGTCTCTCGTTACGTACACGCCGTGTATAAATATCGAGTAATTTTCGACAGTATTATTGAACAAGTTTTTGAATAAAGTATACGCGTATGAATTAAATATTCTCCCATCGATCGAGCGTCGTCTTTTGAAACGCTGTGTGCTCGTGGCACAATTAATAGCGGGTCGTTCTATCAAGGCCGAGTTTACGTTGGATGCTTATCGCTTTGGCCATTACTCCGATGCGAGAAGATAATTCACCGCAACGCTCTACGCGGACTTGAGACGTAATTACAAACAGTGTCTCGCGATATAATTGCAAACAGTGTCTCAAGATACAATTGCAATCTCGTAGACTCTTATCACTAACTGTCCGAGACAGAGCACTGACCTAACTCACGCTGGATAGGACACAAAACTCATCGTCTTGATGGAAGAAAGCAATGAAAAATTTAAACTATATGTATGTGACATCAGGAATCATTTGACGCCAGCAGATGAATCAACATGATTAAGCAAAGCAGTTAATCGACCATGACTGGCGATGTGTTTTTTTAACACAGAAAGTTTATTACGAAAAATATTACCTCTATGTATATGTTTGTATACTGATTAAAGTGTGCAATTATAAAAAACCATCGCTACAAATGTAGATTTAAGTCTCCTAGTTTTATAGTCACATTGATCGAAAGCAAGAAATGTAAACTTGGTATTAACGTTATCTTAAAAAAACAAAAGAGAGATTAGCTCTTCCACGTGCCACCATTCGCAATAATGAAATTGATTAGATATGAAAATTTCTTTTTAACCCTATTTGATGATGTGCGCCTTATACTTGTTTCTGATATAGTTGTTGGTTTAGTTATTTATTAATTCAGCGCCGATAAATAATTCAGAGCAAAAGTATGCTTTGGCTTACACCCTGTTGACCGTTTATTTTGTCTTTAAAGATGAAATGAAAAGAATCTTCAATTTAAAAGAATAAACCGTATTGGAGTAATGTTACATAATAATGTTACTGCTATTGCATTACTATGACTGAGGCATCGCAGGCCCTATTTGTTGAAGTTCACTCGCTGTTCTCGAGGCATTTAGGATATCAAGAAACCTGGTCTTGCGCCAAGTGGCGCACGGCAAGAGCTGATTACACATTTGTGTTTTTGTAAAACTGAAATTATCTTTAATGACCTTATGTCATACATCGCGGAATTCGTCCCGACGGTGACTGTTAATACATAAATAAAAATACGTTCTATTCTTAAGCGAAGGCGTACAATAAGGCGCCATATATACATATACGCGACGAGCTGATAAGTTGAGAAT